ACAATAGCATGAGTCTCTGCGGAGGTAACTGCAAGGACAGCCCAAAAGGAGAAGCAATGGCACGTGGCCTAACGGGATCTCATCCCACCCGCCTGCTAAAAGGAGAGCTGCCCTCGGACAAAGCATTCTGGAGAACAGGGAAGGGCCACTGCTCCCTAAGTGCCAAGCAGCCCGTGGCCAGGCTGACAGATATATTTAACTTAATGTAAGCTTTAGCTTCGAGTTATTAAAGAAAGAACAGATCCAAAGTGGTTTTCAAAAGAAAAACAAGTTAAAGCCTAACAAAGCCTGTTAAGCGAAGGCTCAGAAACAGAGCTCCAAACTTCTATAGGGCAGGATTTCCAAGGATGAGCTGAATACAAAGCCAAGTGGCACCCGACGAGGACCGGAATAGAGGTCTTCTTGGTCCTAGATGCAACTATGGGCACTAAAGGCAGCAAGCTGGTGGAATTCTCCGTGTCTTTGTTTTTCATCAGTAAAAGGGGGCTGAAGCTACGTAAGCTTTAAGGAATCTTTGACCCCTTCCAATTAAAAAAAAAAAAAGTGTATTAATTCTAAAAAGGCTTACCTGCAGATTTGGGGCAACTATCTGAGATAGTCAAGGTTGCCTCCAAGGGGCTGCAAAAGCAGGTGCTGGAATGACAACTGGATAAACACTCACTGAAGACCGAGTTAGAGGAATTGGAAAGGGATCCTGAAGCCCCATCACTCAGCTCATAAAACCCTACAAAGAAAGACATCATTTGGAATTAGGATCGGGTCATGCCATAATACACATTTGTGCTTAAAAGGAAAAAAAGATAATCTTCGAGAAAAGGTAAGATTGGGAGACTTGGGGGGAGGGGGCAATTTTGGCTCGCTGGACTCAGTGTCCTGATTTTATGGTTTTATTTCAAGCAATCCTTAGAAAAACCAAAGAGCTCCTAACGATGGATACATTTCAAAGTTACTCTCACAAGTCAAATTGATCACCCTTGACCCAACCTTTAAAGATGTGCAAGGAAAGAGACTTAGATCTATCACAGCCCCAACATTATCATGAGCGTTTCAGAAAGAGTAACTTGAAGAGAAAACAAATCTATTTAAGGAGCCAAATGGTTTAAAAGAAAAAAAAAAAACTTTCAAAGTGGTCTCAGGAAGTTGAAGTGTGACTAATTTTCTAGCCCAGTTCTGACTTTCTCAAATTTCAAAGGAGGACCTCTCTTCCAGAAATTTGAATAGAACCTTTTCTTTTTAAACTCAGGGGACTCCAGTCAGATCAATCTCATTATTAAAAATGTTGTAGTCTGGTTTTAGTTCCCTCTCCTACGACTGAATGGCAGGCAGACGACCTTTTTATTCTCTCTGCACTGGAAACACACTCCATTGCCATTTGGTTGTGCTCACACACTCACCTGAGCTGGGCCGGCTGTCTGTCTCCAGGTGCTCTTCAGATGTCTTTTCTACATCGAGTCTCAGGTCACTTATCTGCTTGTCAAGTTCTTGCAACTGATTCAACAAACCAGCATCTCTTCTCCTCAAACAATTCTGGTTAGGTAGAAATGGAGAAAGGGAAAATGAACACATTCTGGTGACAAGGAACCAGAAAGGCTGCTGCTCTAAGCCTTCCAATGACCACTGAGAGAGTTCACTAAATCTTCCAAAACTAAACTTTACTGAATGACCTGAAATAAAGGAAAACTTCAAGGCCTATGTCTAATTCCACGTTCTCACACTGGATAGTGATACGAAGTTTCTTCATAAAAACAATACTTGCTCTTACTTTCAACTACTATATACCAAGTTAGGGAAGAATGAAAAAAATGCACTGAGGTCTTATAAAATCTTCTGCGTGTCGCCCATATTTGACAAAACTACCTCACAGTCGATGCTTTAATTTGAAGTCGGAGGGTAACAGATTGCCTATCTTGCTTAGGTGAGACTTTCTGGCCAAATGTCCTGCAGAGCTTTGTTTTCTATTAGTTGCTTTGTGGAGTTTAATCAGTCTGGGGGCCTTTGAAAGTGAGAAACTAATACGAATAGCCAGTGCCAAGTAAAATGTGAGCTGGCAGAATTCAAAACCCTCGAGGGAAGAAGGTCCACCAGATTTGAACTCAACTCGGGTTTCCAAAGGTGACACATCCGCAGCGCTAACTCACACCGCCACCTAGCGCTTCCTATGCTGGAAAAGGGGGTGAAAAAACACACTCAAAAGGCATCTGGTTCAAATCACAAATGCCAAGTCTACAAATGAAAATAGTGCCGCAAACACTGACTGGACTGGAATTCTCCCGACACGCTGCGGCCTTGCTCCCCTCCGGGGACCACGGGAATGTGCCCCTCACAATCCCGAGATTCATAAAGACAAAAAGGTGCTATTGTACGAGACAATGCGTGACATGTCGGCGACCAGGCATCGCCGGCAAGCACTGGCTCAAATCCATGTTACACCCAAATACCTGGTCTAATCCCAGCGAAACACAGTAAAATGCCAAAAGAGAGGTGTTACCCGAACCATGATCTGCATACGTCCTTACAAAATAGATTCGTGAATGGCTACTCCTCTGTGTGCCCTTTGACTTAAAAAGCGTTGGTATAAACCATATGCTAGTCTGCTAGGATGAGTTTTTCAGGAAAAAAAAAAAAAAAAAAAAAAAAAAAGAACCTAAGGAGTAAGAGCACTTTGAGGCTCAAGAAAGAGAGAAATTATCTAAAAAGAGATAATACAAGACAACCACACGGCATCGCCGCGTTCCTCTCTGCAGAGGGGACATTATCTGGCATGTGTCTAGTTTCAGATCGTATCACATGGTCAGATAAGGATTTTTTTTTCCTGCTGCTGCTTTCAAAACTACATTTTTGAGGTCTCTGAAACAAAGCTGCCGCCATCATTCCGAGGCGGGGTCAAAAGCTGTTCACCGATACATTAAGCGCCAAAGTTCTTTTTCTTACCCATTAATGAAGATGACATAGAATGACGGAGGCGCTGGCAGGACTCCAATAACATAAATGCTCCCTGAGAGCAGGTTCTCTCCTCTCCCACCTCCACCACCAGTCACGGCCCGCAGTACGTATAAAATGTAAGAGGAGGGGCACTCTTCCCAGCCAAATTTCCATCCGTTGCGCCTGCTTTAGCTGCCTGGTACAAAGGGCTTCTATTTGAAATTAAGCAGCAGCCCCAGCAAAAGCTGGCATGCTGAAGAGAGCCTGGGAGGGGCAGGGCTCCTACGTGCGCTTCCGTGTAATCGTAAAATTCAGCCTCGGACAGTTAGCCACGCCACAGGCCCCCTCCTCGGCTTTTGTCCGCTCTCGGTGGGAGGACCTGAAGCTAAGAAGGCCTCCAGGGGAGATGGCATTTTAAAGGAGGGCTTTGCAAACCTTCCGGGAGGGAGCGTGCATTCACTCGTCTAACCAGAGAGAGGAAAGGTTACATCCAGGCCACTCCAAGAGCCCCGAAGGGAGAGAGGCCACCCCTACCCCGCAGATGGCGCGGGGTCGCCAGCCCCTCACCTGGCACCAAGCAGGGCGCAGGCAGGCACGGGGGTCAAGGAGGGTGGGGGTCCCGGGGACCGCG